GACAAGGGGAATGGAAAGAAGAGGAAGGCTTCGTCAAAGAAATATCGCAAGTTGAAATCCCGAGATGGTGCCTCTTCTAGTGGGACCAAAGTTGATCCTGCTAAGCCATGCCCTAACCCGAAGGAGGCAGAGTGCCACCACTGCCACAAGATAGGACATTGGAAGAGAAGCTGCCCGGAGTACCTGCAAGCCATCAAGGAAGGAAAGATCAAGCCATCTTTCACAGGTATATATACAATTAAATCTAACGATTCATCTCATGATACTTCTTGGGTTCTTGAGACCGGTTGTGGTTACCACATTTGTTCTAATGTGCAGGGACTAAGAAGAAGTAGAGACGTGGAGCATGGAAGAATAAATCTAGTCATGGGGAACAGAAGATCGTCGCCTGTGACCAAGATTGGAGTGTATTCTTTAGTGCTTAGGAATAGTTTATCTTTAGATTTGAACAATTGTTGCTATTCACCAGAAATGGCTAGAAACATCATTTCATTTCATGGTTTGTTTAGACAAGGTTTTAGATTTTCTTTTAATAATGAAATGGTTCTATTTTAGCTTATTTGAATGGTGTCTTTTACTTTGAAGCTATACCATGTAATGGAATTTATGAAACTGTTATGATTGTTGATAACTTAGGAAATGATGTTTTATGCATGGATTCTTCCAATAGTATGGATAAGGCATCCTTATGGCATTGTCGTCTTGGACGTCAACAAGAAACGCATAGCCCAACTCCAAAAGGATGGAGTGTTGGAGTCATTCGACCTTAGGGAAGATGACACATGCGAGTCTTGTTTACTTGGAAAGATGACTAAGTCACCCTTCGCTGGTACGTGCGAAAGGGGTGAGGGTCTATTGGACCTCATACATACCGATGTGTGTGGACCATTTAGATCTACCACGAAGGATGGAAACCGCTTCTACGTGACTTTTACCGATGACTATAGTAGATATGGGTATATCTACTTAATCAAGCAAAAGTCAGAAACTTTTGAAAAGTTCAAAGAGTTCAAGAATGAAGTGGAGAATCAATTGGGCAGGAAGATCAAGATGCTTCGATCCGATCGAGGAGGAGAGTACCTAAGTCTTGAATTCCACGATTATCTCAAGGAGTGTGGAATAGTTTCACAATTGACGCCACCTAGGACACCGCAATTGAATGGTGTGGCAGAAAGGCGTAATCGAACCTTGTTGGACATGGTTCGCTCTATGATGAGTCGTGCTTCGTATCTATCTCTTTTTGGGGGTATGCCTTAGAGACTGCCGCCCATATCCTTAACGAGTCCCTACTAAGAAGGTTGCCAAAACACCTCACGAGATGTGGATGGGGAAAGCTCCTTCGTTAGCACATATCAAGGTTTGGGGTTGCGAGGCTTTCGTAAGAGAGATACTCACGACAAGCTCGAACCTCGTAGTGAGCGATGTATTTTCATCGGCTACCTGCAGAAATCCTTTGGATATCTCTTCTATAGACCAAGGAAATGTTGTCTTTGTTGCGAGCAGAGGAGTTTTCCGAGAGCGAGAACTCATAAGCCAAGGAGACAATGGGAGGCAAATCGATCTTGAAGAGATTCAAGAGTCGATAGGTGAAGGAACCTCTACCGCTGGCACTCAACCCGAGGAGGAAACTCCGGTTGAACCAATTGACGTGTCATTACCTCTTATACGTTCCGAAAGAGTTAGAGTTCAACCCCAGTTGTATGGTTTTCATATTACTACCGAAGGTGACACGTATATTAGTGATAGTACACTAATAAATCTTGATGAACCTAATAGCTATAAGGAAGCCATGGCAGGCCCAGAATCTGCGAAATGGAAAGAGGCAATGGATAGCGAGATCCAATCCATGTATGATAACCAAGTTTGGAATTTGGTTGATAATGTGCCTGGACGTAAGACCGTTGGGTGCAAATGGATCTTCAAGAAGAAGACCGACGTGGATGGAAAGGTACACACGTTTAAAGTGCGATTGGTTGCGAAGGGCTTTACTCAAACTCCTGGAGTTGACTATGAAGAGACCTTCTCACCAGTTGCGAAGATAAAGTCTATTAGAGTGATGCTAGCTATTGCCGCATTTCATGATTATGAGATTTGGCAAATGGATGTCAAGACCGCTTTCCTTAACGGAAGTTGGCTGAGGATGTTTACATGGCTCAGCCAGAGGGGTTTGTGGATCCGAAGCATCCGAATAGAGTGTGTAAGCTTGAGAAGTCCATTTATGGACTAAAGCAAGCGTCTCGCAGATGGAATATTTGCTTCGATGAGAAAGTCAAAGAGTTTGGATTTGTACGAAGCGAAATGAATCGTGTGTATATGTCAAAGCTAGTAGGAGTGTAGTAAGCTTCCTCGTTCTATATGTCGATGACATATTACTCATAGGAAACGACGTCCCGACTCTGCAGGAGGTTAAGTCCTGGCTCGGGAAGTGCTTCGCTATGAAGGACCTCGGAGAGGCTTCCTATATTTTGGGAATAAGGATAGTTAAAGAGAGAAGTAAGAGACTAATAGGACTTAGTCAGAACACTTACTTAGAGAAGGTATTAAAACGTTTTAGTATGGAAAACTCGAAGAAGGGAGAATTACCGATATAAAGCAATGCCAAGTTGAGTAAGACTCAAAGTCCGAGTACCAAAGCCGAGATAGCTGAAATGAGCTGAGTTCCATACGCTTCGGTAGTTGGCTCAATCATGTACGCTATGACTTGTACTCGCCCTGATGTAGCCTTTGCTTTGAGCATGGTTAGTAGATATCAAGGGAACCCTAGCAGAGCCCATTGGATTGCGGTGAAGAATATCCTTAAGTACCTTCGGAGGACAAAGGAATGGTTCTTAGTCCTTGGAGGGAGTGATGACTTGAAGGTGTGAGGGTATAGTGACGCCAGCTTTCAGACCGACAGGGACAACTACCATTCGTAGTCGGGCTGGGTCTTTACCCTGAATGGAGGAGCAGTAACTTTGAAAAGTTCCAAGCAGGAAACCGTAGCTGATTCAACGTGCGAATCAGAGTACATTGCAGCGAGCGAAGCGTCGAAGGAGGCAATATGGCTAAAGAACTTCATTGGTGATCTTGGAGTTGTACCTGCCATAAAGGAGCCAATGGAGATTTTCTGTGATAATAAAGGAGCGGTTGCCTTGACCAAGGAACCAAGAGATCATGGTAGATCACGACATATCGATAGAAAATATCACTTTATTAGACATCATGTAAAAGAAGGACAACTCATAGTGAAGAGGATATTATCATAAGATAATCTAGCAGATCCGCTTACGAAGGGACTGAGTAGGGTTAAGCATTTGCAGCATGCTAGGAGTATTGGGCTGAAGGATGATATTAGCATAGATTAGATAGTATTAGAAACGTATAATAGATAAATGTAATTAACATTTGATGATTAAATAAAGGAGTTTTATTTATAAGTAATGTTACTGTTTTATGTTAATTGTTTAACTATTGTTTCACTTTGCATGTTTTGACGTCCAGAATAATTGAGTGTATTAAGAATAATCGAATTGTTCAAATTGACTAGAATCGTTCATATGTCGGAAGTAGATATGAATGAAGATTGTCATGAATAGGTGTGTAGAGTGTCTAAATGGTTTTAGACATAGCAAGAGATTGTTGCAACGTTCATGAGTGCTTATGAACTAGTTTTGAGCATTGGAACAAACCCGCGCTTGCTGGAATCACCTTATGGAATGTGATAAAAGGGTGATCGCAAGACGATAATATCATATAGTCATAAAACCTAGATATATGGTTTATTATTTGCTAATTGATTGTGCATTAATAATGCGAAAACGCATTGGTAACTCGATGTTATAAAACACATTGTTGTGTATAGTTGGTTAATGAATAAGTAAATGCATATAAGTCGAAGTTTATCTGTAACTTTTATCCTAAGAAGGAAAAGGTGATATATTGGCCGCTCGATGATTTGATTTGACTTATGTGCCGGGCCCGGTGAGAACTAAATTGATGTGTTCGATTAAGTTCTATGTCAAATAAATCGGAGATCGAGAAACCAAATGCTAGACTAATCATTCCATAGAATTGTCAGCATGATATCTAACAGAGGACTGTACGATCCCTCATCTGAAAGAAAAAGATTGATTAGATCAGAGATTGACAGCGTCTTTGAGAGCTACGATTGCAAATCAGATTGAACCTGTGCATATAGTTACTAGACTTATCCAAGTGGGAGACTGTTGGAATAGTGTCTAAGGCTGCAACTATATTAGGCAAGTATTTGACCCGATTGTGCATGGTCCTTTTCGGTTGCCTTCACCATAGCAACTTGGTAGGATGATTTACTATGAGAGATTAGATATTATTAATATATTATGAGAATAATATAATGAATAATATTATTGTTATTTGATTAATATAAGTCATAGATTAATTAGTATTAATTTGGTGACTTAAAGAGATTAATTAAATAAGAGGGTATAAACTGTCAATTGTTTGATAGTTACACTTTGGGCTGTAAATCCTTTTATGATAGAGGGTGGACGATTTCTAGGGCTAAGGATAGCCATAAAATCATCCATGGCTTATCTATGGAAAGGATTGGGATTCCTTAGAGTCTAAGTTATCCAATTAGGGTTTAAGGGTGAAATCCTAGGAGCCTTACAAGTATAAATAAACCCATTGGGATAGGAAATCGGCACCTCCTCTACAGCAAGGATACCCTGGCCGATTTCCTCCTCTCTCCTCTCTCTCAAATCATTCTCTTTGCTAGTTGGTGTTTGTAAGCCATTAGAGGAGTGACAATTGTGACTCTAAAGCTCCAAGAACAAGAAGATCAAACAAGTGTTTCAAGGTATGCTTCTAACTATGATTTTGTGTTGTTCTTATACCTAATTAGCTATTAGGAGTCTTGGATTCAATGCATGTTTAATTAGAGAAACCTAGATCCAAGCATTAGGGTTTGTATGCGCACATAGGAAAGTTCTTATGTACAAAACCCATTAGTTGATTGTGAATATAAAGAAACTCGAAATATGGTTTATAACATGGACCTTTCAAGCAATAAACTTGTTGGAAAAACACTGGTCGAGCTAACTACACTGATCAAGTTGGTGGGTCTCAACTTGTCTAACAATCATCTCAGTGGGGGTATTCCACACAAAAATGGAAACATGATGAAGTTAGAATCTCTCAATTTATCTCGAAACAAGTTGACTGGGATGATCCCTCGGAGTATGACAGATTTGACCTTTTTGAGCTATTTGAATTTATCACACAACAACCTGTCCGGAAGAATTCCAATAGGAAGGTAACTGCAGACCCTGATTGATCCATCAATATATAAAGGGAATAGAGATCCCTATGGACCTCCATTGACCAACAATTCCTCAAAGTTAGGAGAAGGTCCAACACCAACAATAAGAAGCAAGAAGAAATACAGAGCAGCTAATGAGAAGATGAAGGTATGGTTGTTTTATGTGTACACAATTTGTGGATTTGCAATAGGGTTTTGGGGTGTTATTTGGGTCTTGTTGTTCAAGAAGCAGTGTAGACAGAAGCTTTTCATGTTTGCTGAGAAAACCATGGACAATATTTATGTTGCAGTCCTGATAAGAGTTAACAAGATCAAGAGAGGAAGACAAGCCTCATAGATCCTCTAGAATGCAAGTACCTATCAATGTTTATTTTGTGAACATACTTTTATGACCATTATTTCCATAAATAAGAGATTTATTTTTTCATATATAACAAACATACCTATTTAAATAAAAATAAACGACAAATTTGTTGTGGGAACCATTCTTAAAGGCTATTTAGCTTGTTGTAGAATGCTCTAGAAGATTCTAGAACATTATGGAAGACTATGGAAGACTCAAGAATATACTGGAAGAGTCTAGAATACTCTAGAATGACATGGAAGACCCTGGAAGGTTATGGAACATTCTAGAACACTATGGAAGACACAAGAATGTCTACACTTATCTAGGACATTATAGAGCATTCTAGAAACATATAAAAGCTTGTAATAGATATAGAATACGATAAATAGTTCGAGAATAGTCATGAATGTATGTAGATCTAGAAACTTCCTATAAGGAGGTGGAGACACCTATAAATAGGTGTGGATCTCATTTTCTCTAAACAATCCCAACATCCAAGTATCCAAGAAGAGCCTCAAAAAAGACAAAGTGTAGTAGTCTTTCAAATTGTAAGTTCTTCTATAAATAGGTGTGGAGCTCATTTTCTCTAAACAATCCCAACATCCAAGTATCCAAGAAGAGCCTCAAAAAAGGTAAAGTGTAGTAGTCTCTCAAATTGTAAGTTTTTCTTAAGTGTCTTAATAAAACTGTTGTTGTTTACCACATAAAGCATCGTGTTCAACAATATAGTATCACAGAAAGGTTTCTTGATAGTAAGAATGATTGATTCTCTTTGTATCGTGAGTAGTCTGTGATTCTGCAAGTTTGTTGTTGAAACTAACTTGTTTGGTATTACCGAGGTACTGCCAACATGATGGGTGATCTCCAAGTTGTCAGAGAAATTAGGAAACTCAACAACAACAACTACAAAAATGTGGGAAACATGTATGGAGTCCTACTTACAAGGACAAGATCTATGGGAGGCCGTTGGCAGAAGCGAAACTATGTCACCAGAGGAAGATGTTAATGGCACTTTGAGTAAATGGAAAATCAAAGCATGCAAATCAATGTTTGCCTTGAAGACCACAATTGAAGAAGAGATGTTCGAGAATAATCGGGATGAGAACACACTGAAAGAAGCTTGGGACACGTTTGTGATGCTTTTCTCAAAGAAGAATGATACGAGACTACAACTTTTGGACATTGAGCTATTATCAATCTCACAATGTAACATGATGATTGCTCAATATTTCCACAAGGTCAAGTCACAAGATTACTGAACTAGATCCGCAATCTGTCATTGCAGAAGCTCGAATGAAGAGGATCATCATCAATGGACTAAGGCTGAAATATAGAAGCTTTAATACTGTTGTACAAGGATGGTCTGTTCAACCATCACGTGTAGAGTTTGAAAATTTGTTGGCCAGCCAAGAAGCTATGGCTAAGCAAATGGGAGGCGTCACACTAATGAGTGAATAGGAAGGACTTTACACAAGCAATAGTTTGAGGAATTTCAAGCCATATTCTAAAGAAGGATACAAAAATGCTGACAAAGGGAAGAGTCATTAAGGAACCTCATAACCATGGAGATCTCAAAAGACCGATAATAAGAGTTTTTGGGGGAGGAGGTTCGAAGGCAACTGCAACAATTGTGGAAAGTTGGGCTACATGTCCAAGAATTTTGGTCAAAGAATAAATATGTGGAAAGCAATGTAGTAACTTCCAAAAAAGAAGTAGAGGATGAATGGGATGATCAGACACTATTTGCTGTAGAAGATAATAAGACTAAAAGAGGAAGACTAATGTTCGTGGATGCCACGATAAATGGAGGATACACCAAGGAATTGGTAGATACAGATGCATCTCATAATTTCCTTGTTGAAGATGACGCTACGAAGCTAGGCATCAAATACACCAAAAATCCAGGCCGGTTGAAAGTCATCAACTCTTTATCCAAGCATATTATTGGTGTTGCATTTGAAGTACCTCTTAAGATTGCAGAATGGGAAGGCACCATAGACTTGACAGTGGTGTATATGGATGACTATCGTATGGTATTAGGAATGGATTTCCTAGACAACATATAACCGTGGTCATTTGAGAGAGATGATACCATGCGTATCACTAAGGGTTCAATAATTCTCATTGTACCCTTGAAGAGAAATAGGGTTGGATCGTGAATCCTATCAACTATGCACCTCGACAAAGGTCTCAAGAAGAGTGAGACAAAGTTTATGACAACCTTGAAGGAGGAAGTTATTCCCTCGAAGATGGACATTCCAAAGGAGAATAAGAACAGGACGTCACTAGTGTTGCATAAAAAGTCGCATCATAGACAAAAAATGGAACATGTGATGGAGAAACTAGATAAGGTGAAAAAGAAGAAAAACACATTAATTCGTAAGAGAAAAGTAGAATCTCTCAACCGAGCAACATCTAAACGACATCAAAAGATCAATAAGGAGTCACGTCATTACATGTTAATATTACAGGAATTTTCCAAGGCTTACAAAAAGGACAACCCACATGCTTATAAGTTTGCCAAATGGAGGAATAAGAAACTATACAAGTAAGCTCAACAAGGTCAGGAATGATATCACGGCTCAACAAAAGGAAGCCATGAATGTCATTGGCAACTACAGAAACAATATACGAAGCAACCTCTACAACAACCGATGCAAAACAAAGCATGTGGAAGACGAAAAGTTCTCAAGGAAGATGTCAATATGAGACATATCAAGACTAATAACCAAGTAGTAGATGGAGTTCACAAAGGGTTAAGTACAGAAATATATGAGGGCTTTAATTATCAGCTAAACATGGTATGAAGAATACGGGCTAGTGCTGAGGGTGAGTGTTAAGATCATCACTAGCCCAATAGAACAAATATTATCTAGAAGACTTTAGCTTGTTCTAGAATGCTCTAGAAGATTCTAGAACATTATGGAAGACTATGGAAGACTCAAGAATATACTGGAAGAGTCTAGAATACTCTAGAATGACATGGAAGACTCTAGAAGGTTATGGAACATTCTAGAACACTATGGAAGACACAAGAATATCTACACTTATCTAGGACATTATAGAACATTCTAGAAATATATAAAAGCTTGTAATAGATATAGAATACGGTAGATAGTTCGAGAATAGTCATGAATGTATGCTGATCTAGAAACTTCCTATAAGGACGTGGAAACACCTATAAATAGGTGTGGAGCTCATTTGCTCCAAACAATCCCAACATCCAAGTATCCAAGAAGAGCCTCAAGAAAAGCAAAGTGTACTAGTCTCTCAAATTGTAAGTTCTTCTTAAGTGTCTTACTAAAATTTTTGTTGTTTCCCACATAAAGCGTCGTGTTCAACATTCCATTACTTTTTCTGTTTGACCTAATTTTCATTGGTTTCGTGAGTTTGTTCTATCTGTTTACAATACGCAGAAATTGGGCCCTGTAAATTCATTTACACTATTATGTTTTTATATAAAAAAATCCATTATTACCTGTGTGAGGGAGAAAATGCTTCAAAACTCAGTTATTTCCCATGCTTTATAGTACATGCTTTGGTACTTACCTAAGTGGTTGTATTGTATTGTATCAACTAATATCTTATTTTGATCAATGTACATTGACCACAGAGCATTTGTTGCAGCAATACAAGTGCCTAAAATGTTTCTTTATTTGCACTTACGTTGCAGAAAATTAGAAAAAGAAAACATTTCATGTAATCTGATGAGCTGCCCTGTGCCTACATATTCTTTTTTTAATATATATACATACATACATACATACATACATACATACATACATACATACATACATACATACATACATACCAGTGAAGTTTCTTGTGTCGTGCTTAGCACGACCCATGAGTAAAGTTAATACAGATTTTTAACATGACTCAAGAAATAGGCTTCATGTTTTTAAATGTATTGCTTTTTATTTGGATAAATTTGGAACGATTAGGGTATACTTTATAATGCACAATGCTCATAGATAAAAAGGCTTTTCCCATTAAAGCCAAAACTACATACCAAAATAGGAAACTAGGTTGCCATAATAAACAAATTAATGAAAGTTTATCGTTATTTCCTACATCAAACCGTAATGCAATAATACCTTTAAAATGTATAGAAGATGAAGTTTATTATTATGTTGTAAACGAGCAGGGTGAGGTATAGCAAGTAGGGATTCAAATGGATTGGGGATTCCCCGGAACCTACGGGGTCCCGACCCGAACAGATTGGGGATTCCCCACCTTAATGGGTAACGGATTGGGGATGGGAATCAAATATTTTACCTAAAGCGGGTACGGGGTGGGGGCAGACATAATACTATCTGCTCCATATAAAACCCGATATATATATATATATATATATATATATATATATATATATATATATATATATATATATATATATATATATATATATATATATATATTCAAAATCAGTTTTAATTTTCATTAATGGCTATTAGTAGCTTTCAGATCACAAGACATGGATAATTTAAACGTCCTATGCCTCTTAGTAATTGGTGAGTATGTGACTTGTGAGAGATTGCATATAAAGACAACATTTAACCTTCTGCATTGCATTTCGATTTCACACTCTAGTCCACTTTTCCATTTCTCCTTCTCCAAACCATCACGATAGGGCATGACCATTAATTGATTTCATGTGATCGATTTTCTACAATCATATTTGCAATTTGTTTGAACCAATTTTGAATAATGTTTTTTCTAAATATGTTTTCTATGATCAATTTTATGTACTTTCTCTCTGCAATTATCTTTTTTTTTTTTTTTAAACTAAACTCGTTCATTCCAATAGTCGATTTATTATAATCTATAAAGTTATTTGCTTACTGTTTTATAATCTAAGAAAACAGCTGGATATTAAAACTTGGATTTTATTGGTTGCTGTTTGCTAACAACTCGTATCATTTCAATCGATCCATTATTGTGGTTTAAAGTTGTTTAAAATAATAAAACAACATTTATGTTAGCTTGAT